GGGGAGGGTGGCAAGGGGAGCAGCCAGCCCTCTCCTGTGTCCTGGGTTCTGGGTGCCAAGATGGTCTTGGCATTGCAGACTTAGGTTCTGCTCTAAGAAGCTGCAATAAAGTTGTTTTTGTTTTTGAGTCGGAGTCTCGTTCTGTCGTCCAGGCTGGAGTGCAGTGGCATGATCACGGCTCACAGCAGCCTCGACATCCTGGGCTCAGACTCTCCTTCCCCCTCAGCCTCCTGAGTAGCTGGGACTACATGCACATGCCACCACACCCAGCTAATTTTTTTAAATTTTTTGTAGAGATGAGGTCTCACCATGCTGCCCAGGCTGGTCTCGAACTCCTTGGCTCAAGCACTTCTCCCGCCTTGGCCTCCCAAAGTCCTGGGATCACTGGTGTGAGCCACCATGCCCAACTGCAGTAAAGTTTTTAAAATCATTTTATATGTGAGGTTGTTGTTGCTATCATTCATTCATTCATTCATTCATTCATTCATTCATTCACTTGTCGTGGTTGAATTGACTGCTATAAACTCCAAAGCGCTACCAGGCTGCGCTGAAGGCTATGTTACTGCATGTGACTTTCGTTCCCAGACATAAAATCTTGCATGATTCTGGTGAGTTCTGAGTTTCCCTCGGAGCCATCCCAGGAAGAGAAGGAGAAGGAATGGGGAGGGGAGGCTGTGCTCCCCGAGGGTGCGGACACATCTCTCTTTAAAGCCACCTACAACTAGGCATGACACAGGCTAAGAGTGATGGATTTTTCTGGAATGAAGTCACTCATCTCCTCAGTGTTCTTTTTGTATATTAGTTTTTATGGCTCTGGCATAGGGACTTGGATTCCTCCGTGGAAGATGAAACTTGATGGCTTGAGACTTTCCAATGGAGGCCAGATATTGCCAAGGGTCTGAGAGGCTCGGAGAACACCCAGTGATCCTGTTTTTTTCATGTGGGTCACGGAGAAAAGATAAACATCAAATGCCTCTGTCCTCAAATTCCTGATTTCAAAACATTGTATAAGCTACAGTCATCAGAATGGTGTGGTACTGGCCTGAAGATAAACAGATCTTCAGAATACAGAACCCAGAAATAAACCTGTGAATACAGTGGACATTTCTCCAAAAATGATCTACAGACGGCGAGCCAGCATATGGAGGGATGCTCAAATCACTAACCATAGAGGAACGCAAGTCAAAACCACAGTGAGATACCAGCTCACACCCATCAGAATGGCTACTATCAAGAAAAGAAAGAAAAAAATTGGCAAGGATGTCGAGAAATTGGAACCCTTGTGCACTATTGGTGGGACTGTGAAATGGTGCAAATGCGATGTAAAACAGTACAAAGATTTCTCAAAAAATTAGAAATAGAAGGCTGAGTGTGACAGCTCGTGCCTGTAATCCCAGCACTTTGGGAGACCGAGGCAGGAGAACTGCTTGAGCCCAGGAGCTCGAGACCAGCCCAGGCAACATGGGAAGATCTGGTCTCTACAAAAAATTTTTAAAAATTTTTTAAATTAGCCAGGCATGGTGGTGTGCACCTGTAGTCCCAGCTACTCAGGAGGCTAAGGTGGAAGGATCACCTGAGCCCAGGAAGTTGAGGCTACAGTGATTGCATCACTGTACTGCTCCAGCCTGAGTGACAGAGTGAGACCTGGACTCAAAAAAAAAAAACAAAATTAGAAATAGAACTACTATGTGATCCAGCAATTCCACTTCTGGGTACACATCTTAGAGAATTGGAAGCAGGGTCTCGGTGGGAGACTCACACCCTCACGTTCACAGCAGCACTGCTCACACGGCCAAACAGGGGGATAACCTGCGTCCACAAACGGGCCAGTGGACACACCAAATGTGTGTGTGTGTGTGTACACACACACTGTGGAACATTACTCAGCCTTAAAAATAAAGGCAATCCTGGCACATGTGATCACGTGACTAAACTTTGAGCACCTTGAGCTCAGCGACTGACAAGCTCCCCCTCCCGAGGTCTTTCGTCACCCTGCGATGTCCCTTTTTTCACATGAGATGACACGGATTCCGGAACCAGGACCGATACACATGGGAGCCACTGCTCAGGGGCAAGCCTCAGCAGGCAGGCCGGGCAGGAGGGCAGCCGGAGTCTTCCCGTGAAGCCTCCGTGGGAAGCGGGCGAAATTCTGCTTTATAAAGCCCGGCATCTTCTGTGCAGGACTCAGCTTCTGAACCAGGATCCTTTGGTGACTGTTTTTCTGTCTGGTTCTCCGAAACAGATTCCAGTTGGGAATTTGCCTGCAGGAGGGTCCTGGGAGGGACTCCCAGGAAGCCCACGGTGGGAGTGGGCACAGAGGAGAAGCTGGCTGGGGACACAGGTGCCACAAAGGCTTTAGCCGTTCCATGGGGCGCTGGGGACTGGGGAAAGCACCCACAGTTGTCCTGAATTCGGACATTGCTTCCTGGCTGCCCCGGGAGGGGACATAGCCGGGGGCTGAGCAGCTCCTTTCCACAGAAGGCAGTTCCAGAAGAGAGACTTGCTGGGACGCTCACAGCACTGGCGGAGTGGGTGCCTCTCCTGAAGGGGGTCTCGGGGCACACCACAGCATTCACCGTGGCGACCTCAAGTGACCATAGGACTTTCTGACCTAAGAGTGATGAGCAGATGTCACCGAGTTGCGGCGGGAGAACTTCCTGCACTAAGTACATATGGAGCTAGGGACATCAACAGAAAGTGACTTTGTGAGGACAAGCCCTTCAGTCAGCTGGAGAACCCTGTGCAAGCCCACGGGGTCATCTTTTGAGGGGAGGAGGGAGGTTACTTAGTCATTTGCTCCATAAGAATTTGTTGCGCACCTACTATGTCCAGGACTCTTTTGCGGGTGCTGGGAATTCCGAGGTGGATAGGAAGCCCCCTGGAGGAACACGGGGCCTGCTCTGGGTGTCTCTAAGTCCCTTTAGTTTCTGTCTGCCAGGCTGGACGAGGAGCTCCCTCCCCACAGTGCTCAGACTCAGCTGTGGCCAAGGCAGGGCTGCCGGAGGGTGGGAAGGCCAGAGCTCCCAGGCTGCTCCCCTCCAAGACCCAGAGCCCAGCCTCAGCGACCCCTCCTCCCAGCCCACCTCGGGCCGCTTGTGGGTGACGGTGGGTGGGTCCTTTGGGACAAGTTTCACCAAAGCATACCCACACCTGAGTGCTTCTTGTTTAATTCTGCCACTTGCACTCCAGCCAGAGGGGTTTGAGGGTCTTCCTGGCTGAACCCCTGCCTCCAGGAACAAGACAAAGCCACCTGGTCAGTTACACCTCCCAGGAGGGGAGTTTTTACTTCCTCTTCCAAGTTGAGCAAGCCCAGCTGGCCGAATAGCTTCACTCGGCACCAAGCCTTCATCTCCCCTCCCACGCCCACGCGCCGAGGTCACACAGGCACCCCTCGTGGCTTCCAGCAAAAAAACCGCAAACAAGTGCTTCCATAACTCATGGTTCAGCCTGATGCAAAGAGCACCGCCAGAGAGGGGGGCAGAACCTCTCTCCAGCTGTGCTAGGATTAAGAGAAGCAGGCATGGAATATTATGTCGCACTCACCACCATATATGTAAAAAAAGGGGGAGGAGAGAGGATACATGTGCATATTTGCTTGGTCACATACAACACTTTTCTGGAAAGTTACACAACAAAACTGGTAACACCAGAGGCCCTGCTGCAGGGGGGTAAGAGGCAGCGCAGGAGGGAGCTGCCTTGAGCTCAGAACCATGACGATGTGGCACCAAGAATAAGGGAACCCACGCTGAAGACAGACATGAGTGCAGATTTTTTTTTTTTTTTTTTGATTTGGAGTCTCACTCCGTCACCCAGAGTGCCACTCCCGGCCACCGCAGCCTCAAACCTGCTGGGCTCCGGCGATCCTTCCGCCTCAGCCTTCCAAGTAGCTGGAACTACAGGCATATGCCACCATGCCTGGCTAATTTTTTGATTTATTGTAGAGATGAGGGCTCGCCAAGTTGCCCAGGCGGGTCTCGAACCTGTGACCTCAGGCAATCCTCTCACCTCAGCCTCCCAAAGTGCTGGGATTACAGGCGTGAGCCACCACACCCGGCTGAAGATGAAGTTTGAAAGAGAGTTGGGTAAGTTCCTTTTCTTTGTCTGTGGGCTCAGCGGAGACGGACAGCAGCTGGTGGTCCTGCTTAGTAGGGCCCTTGGTTTATTCATCCCACCAGTGCTCTGCCCCTGCTGGAGACACAGCTGTGAGCCAGAGCTCACTGACCACCTGGAGAGGGAGGCGGGTTCCTGGCCACACCCCAGACCTTCCAGGCCAAGGAATCTGCAACGTGAACAAGCTCTCCTGATAATGTTTGCAACCTCGAGGGTGAGGTTTTCCAGCACTTCGCAGAGCTCCGGTCATCAATTTCCAGAAAACGTCCTAGAACAGAGCTCCCGGAGCCTGGGGAGGCTGTCGCCCCCCCGTCCCCAACTGCCCTCAGCAGATACCTGCCCAACAGCTTCTGGCTGTGTCCTCCAGCTCCATGGTCCAGCTGACCACTCCTGTGGCAGGATGCGGCAAATGCTCAAATATATTTCTTGTATGATTGAGTGAATAAACACAGAAACACGTGTAGCTGATTCAGGATCAGCAGCTGGCCTCACCTGGGCTGACTGAATATCTCCCACTAGCCCAATGGCAGGAAGGGGGTTGCTAGCAGTTAGAGGTATTTCCTTTTGAAAGGCAAGTTGCAACTTTAAAGACCCGACAGGCGCAGGGCAGGTTTTGTTTAAGAAAGGCCAAATGGCCCAGAGACTGGCCATTTCATGGAAACGGAAAAGAGTCTTATTTAAAACCCCCCTTCTGAAGTTGACGGTTTACAATCCTGCAGTTCCTGGAAACCGTTTGTTCTTTGAAAAATCTAATTTTGCTGAGTACAGCCTTGTAAAATTCCAAAGGAAATATGTAATCACTCAACACGACCTCCTCCCTTACCTAAACAAGGGTATAAGACCCCATTTCTCCTATTCTAAGGCGCTCGATATGGACACATTAGACCCTCAGGCCCGCTGGGATGGCCAGCGTAAAAAAGTGCCACTTCCTATAGTAGTCTCGGTGTCGCGATCTCTCTATTTTTCCTGCTACACTCCCAGGCACCTGCTCTCAGAGCCCTTCCTGCTGCCAGCTGAAGGCCAGAGACTCCTAATCAACCGACCTCAAACTGGGGGTCTGCAGGTCTCCAGGCACGAGCCCTCGTGGCTGTATGTCAGTGATGAGGGCAGTTCTGGCCCCACCTGCTCTCGGTGCTCCCCCTGCCCTTGGCCACCAGGAAGTGCCAATGGAGAAAACCAATTACACCTGGGAAGCTGCAACCCCTCCCCCAACGAGGGGGCGGGCTGAGAGGCCTGCCCGCATAACAGGGAGGCAGGGTAGGCTGGGCAGGGTTGCCCCGCCACCGGAGGGCGCCAGCTCGGAGGTCTGTGCCATGTCCTTCCAGGGTGTCGTCCGCCTGTCCCTGGACAGCCCCGCCCATGCCATCTGTGTGCTGGGGACAGAAGTCTGCCTGGATCTGAGTGGGTGAGGCGCTGGGGGCCCTGCCGGGGCTGACTGGGGGCAGGGAGGCTGGCACGGCTTCCCCTCCCCACCTCGGAGGCGGGGTCACTTCTCTTCCCTGCATCTCTTGGTCTTGCCCCACCTCGAGGCCTGGTTTGGGTTTCTAGAGAGTCTTCTGGTCCCAACACTGTGGGGGTTCTGACTTCAATCCCGCCTCTGCCCCGGGCTGGCTGGGAGCCTTCAGGGAGGCAAGTGCCGGCCTCCCCAGCCTCCTCATCTGTGAAACGGGCAAGGCCCTGCAGGGGGCTGGGGGTCTCAGTGGAAGTGACCTGGCCACAGCACAGACCTCCCTAGCCCCATCCCTTGCCTTCTTTCCCTACAGGGACCCCTGTGGCTCAGGCTAATGGCTCCTCCCCCCTCGGGAGCTGAGGGTTATAAATGAGGGGCTCGTGAACGAGACTGTCTTTGGTAATTTCCAGAGTGTCCAAGGGAGGGTGGGGTCTGGGCTGGAGCTTCTCAGAGGGTGAACGTGGGGAACCCTGAGGAGAGCGTGGCATGAGCAAGGCTGAAGTTGTGTGAGAACCCCCAAAACACCCTGACCTTGACGCTTGAAGGAGAGCCAGGGCTCGGGGGGCCGCCCCCTCCCATGACCGGCTGCCTTCCAGGCTGAGCAGGTGAGCCTTCGTGCCCTGAAGTTTACCCCCTTCTCGTGCAAACCAGGGGTGCCCCGAAGATGTGTGACTGCTTCACTATCCGTGGCTCCCAGAGGGTCGTGATCCATGTCGCCAACACAGTGATTTCCGAGAAGGAAGATGCCACCGTCTGGTGGTCCCTGTCTAATCCCACGCACGCCACAGTGAAGATGACATCGCCCAGCCCTTCTGTGGATGGAGACGAGGTCAGCCTGGGGAAGAGGTCAGGACGTCTCCCGGGGTGGGACCCGGTGCTGTTGTTGGGGCCTCCCTCCTGGCAGCAGGCACACCCGGGGTCTGTTGCTTTGTGGTTTTTGAGTCTGGGTCTCACTCAGTAGCCTAGGCTGGAGTGCAGTGGCATGATCAGGGCTCACACCATCCTTCTGCCTCAGCCTCCTGGGTATCTTGGTTTACAGGCGTGTACCACCACACCCAGCTACTCTTTTTATTTTTTTTGTAGAGATGAGGTCTCTCTATGTTGCCTGGTCTTGAGGTCCTGAACGCAAGCAGTCCACCTGCCTCAACCTCCTAAAGTGCTGGGATTACAGGCATGAGCCACTGTGCCCAACTTGTTATTTATTTGTTTATAAAGATGGTGCTGAGTATTTTTTCGTGTCCGGGCTTACTGCTTGCAACAAAACTGTGAGGTGGGCACTCCATGACCCATTTCACAGATGAAGAACCCGAGGCACCAAGTCGACAATCAGTAGAACCAGGGTTCCAGCTGAGCCCTTCTGTCTCCCCCTGTGCACTCCCAACAGTGGCATGGAACTGGCTGCCTCCAGTTGCTGTTAGTCTGGCTTCAAGTTCTCAGCTGTGTAACTCCCATGGGCATTTTGGCCCGGCAGCTTTTCTGAATGTGAAGACCTTAATGAAATCTAAGAGCTGAGGAGAATCAAATGCATGCTGTCTGCTAGGGAGCTTGAATCCCATTTCAAGGGGCTGATCCATCCCCTTCTCTCACATATGAGAAACTGAGGCACGAGGTGCTGTATCTAGCCCTCAGTGGCATAACTAGAGTGGGGGAGACCTGGGATTTGAGCCCAGGTCTGTGCCCTCATTCCTGGGTAGACAGTATGCCCAGTGGCCAGTTGCGGCAGACACTGCAGGACAGGCTGCTAGGGTCTCCACGGACGTGGTAGCATTCTGGGGTGGAAACAGGCTGCGTGGCCAGTAGGGCTCAGCCTTGGCTGCAAGTCGGGACCACCCGGGTTCTGACACCCAGACCTCACGCCTGCCAAGGAAAGCAGGCCCTGTGGGAGTGGGACCTGTCTCTGTTGTTTAAGGCTTTCCAGGTGATTCCATTGCAGAGCCAGGGTGAGGACCGCAACACAGCCACTTGGGACGGGACCTCCCCCGGCAGAGGGGTGGGTAGAAGGATAGTGCACACCCTACCTGTGCCCCAGGGTAGGCTGTGCCCCAGGGTAGGCTGTGCCCCAGGGTAGGCTGTGCCCCAGGGTAGGCTGTGCCCCAGGGTAGGCTGTGCCCCAGGGTAGGCTGTGCCCCACAGGCAAGTGGTGCCCTTAGGTAGACCTGAGCGTCTCACAAGAAGCGAGCTCAGACCTGCTGTGCCCAGGGTGTTACCTCCACCCTCAGGAGTAGGCGACAGAGTGAGGCTTGACTTCGGAGGACGAAAGCTTCCTTTTAGCAGCAGATGGCAGGTCACACATGTTGATGTGACTCTGGCTAATGGCTGCAGCTCTCATTTGTGATGAAGACCTCGTGGACGGGGGCAGAAGGGAGGGTCTGTATTTAAAGTATAAAGCAGAGGCTGGACATCATGGCTCACACCTGTAATCCCAGCACTTTGGGAAGCTGAGACCAGCCTGGGCAACAGGGCAAGACTTTATCTCTATAAAAAATCAGCAGGGCTCGGTGGCTCAGCCTGTGCTTTGGGAGGCTGAGGTGAATGGATTGCCTGAGCCCACAGGTTCGAGACCTGCCTGGGCAACTTGGCGAGACCTCATCTCTACAATAAATCAAAAAAAAAAAAAAAATCAACTGGGTGTGGTGGGGCATGCCTGTAGTCCCAGCTACTCAGGCTGAGGTGGGAGGATCATCTGAGCCCAGGGGGTTGAGGCTGCAGTGAACCATGATCGTGACACTATACTCTAGCTTGTTGACAGTGAAGCCCCAACTCAAACTATAAAACAGAGGCTGGGGCAGGACACGCCAATCCCTGTCCTCACCCCAGGTAAGCAGCTTAAGCCAGCAGAGGCCCTGTTTCTCCATGCCAGCCTCATGGGGCAGCGGGTGGGCCCCAGGAGGGTGGGTACCATAGAGAGGATGTCTAGTATGCTGTAAGGCTTGGGCTCTGGAGCCGGGCAGCCTGGGCCTGGGATTCCCCTGCTGCTTTCTGCCTGAATGGTGCAGGATGGGTCTCTGATCCCTCTGCTTCTAGGGGTATAGATTCTACCTGGGCGGCTTGTTGTGGTTCTGGGTATAGATGAGGTGGGGGTGGGGGTAGTGTGGCAGGTTCTAACACCTGTCCTAAGAGCAGGGCTCTGGCCCATGCCAGCTCCCAATGAGACATCAGAAGCTGTAACACGAGATCAAGGTCATACACCCAGACCTTGGCCCGGGGGCTGCTCCCAACCCTGCCTTCCGGTGCTCCTTTGGATCTGGGTCACTCTCTCCACAGGTCTCGGTCACCTACTATCAGCCCAACCAGGAAGTCGCCGTGGGCACGGCTGTGCTCTACCTCACTGGCATCGGTGAGTGCCCCCACCAGGAGCCTGGGGCCCAGCCCACCTCTGGGAGGGGTGGGCATTGCTGAAAAAACTAAATGAGATGCCTCTGATGGGCCCCAAGAATTCCTGAATAAATTCCTAAGCAAATTCTTGCAGGATACCATCACCCCCTCCGTGCTGTGTTCACGTACTGCCAACCGAATTTTCTGCCCACGTTAGGTACCCACATTTTGCCTTGGTCACAATCGACGTGTCTGGTCCACAGTTCATTTCTTGTCTCACTGTATCCTTTCCCCTCGTGGTCAAGAGCTTTCCTTGAGCCATGCTTACTGATGTAAGATGCCAGCCCTCACCTCTTCTCTTCTGAATTATTTTCATCAGCCTAGGAAGGAACAATAACTTCTCTCAATTCCAGGTTGTCTTTCTTTCTTTCTTTCTTTCTTTTTTTTTTTTTTTAGAGAGACAGGGTCTTATTCTGTCGCCCAAACTGGAATGTAGTAGTGTGATCATGGCTCACTGCCGCCTCGACCTCCTGGGCTCAGGCAATCCTTTCACCTTATCTTCCGAGTAGCTGGCTCTACAAGCATGTGCCACCACACCTAGCTTATTTTATTTTTTTGTAGAGACGAGGTCTCGCTACATTGCCCAGGCTGGTCTTGAACTCCTGGGTTCAAGTGCTCCTCCCACCTTAGCTTCCCAAGTTATTGGGATTACAGGCATGAGCCACCACACCTGGCCCAGGATGCCTTTAAACTGCACTCTCCTGCCTCTCTGCTCCTTGGAGCTATTCGTGTGACCCGAGTCTCCTTTCCTTCTCTCGAACCCACTCAAATCAGATGCCACTGGCACGGTTCTCACAGAGGACTCTAACTTCCACACTAGCTCTAGTGGCTGAAGCCCTGGTTCTCCTTTCTTGGCACATTTTACCTGAGACCTCAGGGATGCTACACGCATTCCTCGTGGATGAGGACAATGGCACTCCCACCTGTTCCTCAGAGCCCTTGGCTGGGCTCTCTGTTCCCCAAGCCGATCCATGTTCCAGGGTTCAGGAAGCAGTCATGTGGCTCCGGTACCCCCTTTAGACAGACCCCCTCCCCAAACCACCTCCACCTAACAGCTCCCACAGCCTCGACGTGGGCGTGGTCCCCACATGACCCTTGGGTGTCCAACAGACATCTCAGACTTAATGTATACCAAGTGATCCTCTCTACTCCCCAACACTTTTTTTTTTTGAGTTGGAGTCTCACTCAGTCGCCCAGACTGGAGTACAGTGGCCATTCCCGGTCACCGCAGCCTCAACCTGCTGGGCTCCGGCGATTCTTCCGCCTCAGCCTTCCAAGTAGCCGGAATTACAGGCATGCGCTACCACGCCCGGCTGATTTTTTGATTTATGGTAGAGATAAGGTCTCGCCGCCCAGGCGGGTCTCGAACCCGCGGGCTCAGGCAATCCACTCACCTCAGCCTCCCAGTGGCGCGGGATTACAGGCTGCCACAGAGCTCGGCTCCAACACTGATGTTTCTGGGAGTTTCCCCATCCCACTGTCCTGTGGTGGCTCCATCCTTCTGGCTGTCAAGGCCAGTGACCTTGGCCTCACCTGACTCTCCTCACCCCAAGCAGTCCATGAATCTCGGGGGGGATACCTGAAGTTGGGCCAGGATTCAGCAATGCGCCTTCAATGCGCTTTCCCTGGCACAAGCCCCTTTCCTTGCTCACCAGGGTGGGGGTTGCCTGCTGCCACCCTTGCCCTTCTGCAGGTCTGGTCTGGATCCAGCGGCCAGAGTGGCACATCTCTAAAAGGATATCAAATCACACCTCAGGTCAAAGCCATCCCACTTCCTTAATTAAAGCCAAAGTCACTGTTGCCCACAAAGCCTATGCGAGTAGCCCCGCCCCCTGACCTATGGCCTCGCTCATTCTGCTCTGGGGCCATGGGCTACTTGGCCTTTGAACGTGTCTTTGGTATTTCCTATTCCCTCCAATGGCTTTTACCCACCTCCCCCTTACCTTCTTGCCACCTCAGGGTCGCTTTTCACATGTCAGCTTAGACTTCCCTGATCTCTTAAAACAAACACCCCACTCTACCCACCGCTGTTTCCCACAGTGCTATTGCCATTGGACATGTGTGTGTGTGCATGTGCATGTGTGCACCACCCAGCTGCCCACATACCACTAATGTAAGCTCCACAGAGAGAGGGCTGCTGTCTTGCATGTGGCTGTATCCCTGGGACCTGGAGCTGCCTGGCTCCTTGCAGTACCCATCTCCAAGCATCTGCGAACCAGGAGCTCAGGATACGGCAGCAGGCAACGGCCCTGACGCTCCCACGGGGAAACTGTATGTCAGGTGACAAACCGTGAACAGGAAACTGTGATGAGGCCACCCACTGGACACTGCATGGATAGAGGAAGGGGGGTGGGAGGGAGGGAGGTTGCTTAGGCAGTAGGGACAGCCTTTGGGGTGACCCTTGGGCAGAAACCTAGATCCTTATCCCTTAAAGGGGCTTAGGATTTCCCCTCCTATGTCTTAGAGCTTTCCAGAAGGCAAGGGAGGTAGGCTTTGCAAGCAGAACCCACCTGGGTGGAGGCTGAGAGACATGAGGTTGTGCAAAGACTGCAGTGGACTAGTTTTGTGAGTCCCTGGATGTCTGGGGTAGGCACATGCGTGTTGGGGCCTCTCCAGCCTTGCTCCAGAGAAGTGGCACACCAGCAAGGCGGGGTGGCCCTGCCGGGGTCACCTATGACTTCGGAGCGCCATCTAGAGGCAGGCCGTAGGAGGTTGAGACACCCTTCTCCGTTTCAGAGGTCTCCCTGGACGTGGACATCCACCGCAGCGGCCAAGTCAGGAGGCCCAGTGACAAACAGGCCAAGGTGAGGCAGCCGGGAAAGGGGACAGAGGTAAATCTGGCCCAGAGACTCCCTTCGTGTGACCCTCATAGTGTTTCTTAAGTCAGAACTGATGGAATTGCTCACTTGTTGAAAAAACTGGCTGGGTGCAGTAGCTCACGCCTGTAATCCCAGCACTCTGGGAGGCCGAGGAGGAAGGACTGCTTGAGCTCAGGAGCTGGAGACCAGCCCAGGCAACATAGCGAGACCTCGTCTCTACAATAATTATAAAAATTAACTGGGCATAGTGGTGCACGCCTGTAGTCCCTGCTACTTGGAGAGGCTGAGGTGGTGGAAGGATGGCCTCAGCCTAGGAGGTCGAGGCTGCGGTGAGCCGTGATCATGCTGCTGCACTCCAGCCCTGGGCAAGAGTGAGACACCACCAAACAAACAAAAACCTTGAATGTCCAGCGGCACCAGGCTCATGTCCTAGCCTGGTCACCTAGAACCTCTCAAGGGCTAGCTGCCACCTCCAGGTGGGATGCCTGTCATTTAGCTTCTCCATCCCTATTTCCCCTGATACTGAACCGAGGCAGGTAACCAGCAGGCTGAGTCTAACTCCTTTCCCTTCCTCTTGCCTGGTTCCTGATGATACCTTCCGTCCCTGGGGCTACTTGGCCTCACAGCTCCCCGCCGCAGCTCCCTGTGGAGAGGCTTGGCTGTGCCTGTGTCAGAAAAGCACAGGACTGGCTGGGCTCCCTCCTGAGCCCGTGTTCCAATCTCATTGCAGAAAAAATGGGTGTGGGGTCCCCATGGTTGGGGTGCCATCCTGCTGGTGAATTGCAGCCCTATGGATGCAGGCCAGCATGAGGACAAGAAGACCAAGAAAGTGTTCTTCTCAGAGGGTGAGACCGCAGACCGCCCCTAGTCTTCTCTCCCAGGCTTGGCCTTCCCCTCAGCCTTCACGGCTCAACCCCAGCCATGCAGATTCTGGACTGGTTTCGCATCTCAAATCCTCTGTCCTGCTTGGAGCCGTGTAACAGGGAAAAGGCCACATGGCTCTGTGGAAAAAGCATGGGCTGGTACAAAGTGCTACTTCCTGGGCCGGGCGTGTTGGCTCACGAATGTAATCCCAGCACTTTGGGAGGCTGAGGTGGGAGGATGGCTTCAGCTCAGGAGTTCGAGACCAGCCTGGGCAATATAGCAAGATCTCATCTCTATAAAAAAATTTATAAAATAGCTGGGCATGGTAGCATGTGTCTGTAGTCCCAGCTACTCTGGAGACTGAGGTGAGAGGATTACATGAACCCAAGAGTTTGAGGCTGTGACCATGCCACAGCACTCCACCCTGGGCAATAGAGTAAGATTTCGACTCAAAGTGTTACTTCCTGGTTATGAACTTGAACACACTAACTTCCCTGGCCTTGTCGGCCACCTGCAAAATGGGCATGATACAAGTTGGTGTCCCAAGGTAGTTAGAGTAATAAATGATGACAACAGGCTTATACGAGATTAAAAAAAAAAAAATTAGAGACGGTCTCACTCTTCACCTAGCTCGTACCTAGAACGTAGCTCACTGGTGTCTTGGACTCCTGTACTCAAGGAATCCACCTGCCTCAACCTCCTGAGTAGCTGGGACTACAGGCATGTGCCACCACGCTGGGCCAAAATTTTTACTTTTTGTGGCACCAAGGTCTTGCTACGTTGCCCAGGCTGGTCTCAAACTCCTGGCCTTAAGTGATCCTCCTGCCTCAGCCTCCCAAAGTCCTGGGATTACAGGTGCAAACACTGTTCCCAACCTCTGTGAGCTACTTTCTAAAAAAACAGCCTTTCTCTTGTTGCCTGGGCCTGGGACCCCAACTGTCTTAGATAAAAGCAGTCTTAGATGTGGTCCTGACTTGTGGTAGGGACCAGGGTTCTGGGTCTTAACAGCAGAAACAAGGCTGGAGGTGACCCCTTGCTGACCTGATCCAGCCAGGCCCTGTTCTGTGTGCTTGTGGGGACTGTGAGGTAAAAGCCACCCTCACTCAAAAGTGGGCCCTGGGGTTGGCAACTTGCTTGTGGCCACACAGAGAACAAGCAGTGGCAGCCTGGGCCACAGAGGGAGGCAGAGGGTCTTCGGGCCCCTTCCC